CGTTTCAGGCAGAGAGTGTAGAAGAAGCTGGCTGCTGAAGGGCTTCTTCTTCAGTGGTGGAGGCTCAGGCAGGCTGTATACAAACTACTGCCAGCTGCGCCCTCTCTGTTGGACTTTGGTACTGCATGTTACTTCCACGATTTAGATCCAGGGCTTTCTATGAAACATTCGGGGCTTGAGCCCAAGTAGCCGGGCCTAACGCCGCCTCTGCTTTTCAAACTCACGCGGTTCACCCGCGGCTTGCGGAAAAAATAGTGCAGACGCCGAAACGATCGCTGCACGGCGCGGGCTGGAGCGCCGGCGCGCAGCGCTTCGGCGGCCCATGTGGAATAGGATAACAAGGGCGACGAATGAAGGCGGTCCCCATCTCACGGCACTTCGGCAGCACACGACCGTTGTCGCAGCTGAGGACGGGCGAGGGGGGGTTGGCAGCAAAGCAATGAAATGCTGTACAGGGAGTCCCCCCTCCTCTCCCTGGCTGGGAGAGGAGGGGGGGCGGTAATACGAGAAAATAAACATTCCTCTCTACAGTAGAATAAATCTATTGTATGTTTCAGCCTTATATTCTACATAAGGCGTATACATTGCCACATACTAGTCATTTAGCATATCTTATTTTTATTTTCCTAATACTGTCGGCTTTGGAAAGGATCAAAACACAAAAGTGTAAAACTCAAAAGTATTTTAATGCCAAAAATCAGGTGACAGAACTAAAATCAGGTAGCTAGGACGCTGAAACCAGCAGAGTATGACCGAAACTGAACCGTATGCACTGAGGAGTGAGAGATGACAGAGGACTAGTTATGAGGAGGAGCTGTGAGTGGGAGCAGAGGACAGCAGGGGAACATGGGAGGAACTATAAATGAAAATATTTTTAAAGAAAGAATCCTAAAAGGGAAAGAAGAATAACTAGAAAAAAACCTGACAACAAACGGAGTAGAAAATTCAGTGGAAGGAAGAAAAAAAAAAGACTTGAATACTAAATGAGAAAACCTGAACAGCTGGGGAACCAAACAAAAACAGAGCCATTGGTTCTGAGCCACAATGCCTGATATCATTTATTTACATGATCATTTTTAAACTTTTAAGTATAAAAATGCCACATGTAATGTATTTTACTTTGTCTTGGCATCAACAGATATATAACTGTACTTTTATGCTGATTATTTTATTACAGATGGAAAAAGAGGGTCGTAGTAAGGTGTGGGCCTACTTCACTAAAGATCCATCCGGTGATGTCATCTGCAGCATCTGCTCATCTTCAGCAGGCCAGGGGTGAGACAAAAGCGAGTCAAAAAACACAACTAACTTGTGGCACCATCTTAAAAAGAAGCACAACGATGATTACGAAGTTGCACAAAGTCAAGCTAAGAAAGGGACAGGAACTCAAATGACTCTTCCACAAGTTGTTGAACGAACAGCAAAATGGGGCCCAAATGACCCAAAAGTCAGAGAGATAGATAAGCTCGTAATGGAAATGACTGCCACAGACATCCTGCCCTATGCTGTTGTGGAGGGAGTGGGGTTTAAACGACTGGTTGCAAAACTGGAACAAAGATATTCACTGAAAAATGAAAAATGTTTTCACACAAAGTTGATGGAAGAAACTTATCAAAAGGTTGTGAACAAGGTTAAACAGCTTCTTCATACTGACCATTCTGGACCCCTTGCCTTCACTACAGACTGCTGGTCTGGAGCTGGTGACGCCCTCATGAGTTTAACAGATCACGTTATTGACAAAAACTGGCAGAGAGTCCAGCTAGTGCTGAACGTGAAGACAATGTTTGGTTCTCACACAGGAGAATATATAAGTGAAACCTTGCTTCACTTATTAAAAGAGTGGGACATTGACCATGAGAGAGTGCACCTGGTACTGAGGGATAGCGGAGCCAACATGGTCTAAGGCACGAGGCTTGCTGAAATGCCTGGACTGAGCTGTACCGCTCACACACTACAGCGGGTCATAGATGACGGCTTCAGAGCACAGCGAGCTGTAGGGGACGTGCTGGCAAAATTTAAAAGAACTGCCACTCGTTTCAGTCATTCAACAGTCGCACAGCAGCGTCTCACCGGTATTCAGGAGGAGATGGGAGTTCCTGTTCACTCGATTATTCAGTCAGTGCCGACAAGATGGAACTCTGTGTTGCACATGATGGAGAGAATGATGGAGCAGAAGAGGGCCACTACTGCCTATTCCAGTGACCATGGGCATTGTCTGTGTCCAACACCAAATGAGTGGGACTCGGCTGGAAAACTAATGGAAACCCTTGTAAGAGGTAACCTCTGCCTCCTGCATTTTGCCTTCTGTAGGTGTTTTAAAGAGTGTTTTACAAGCAGAGGGACCACATACAGCTGGCATCCAGACAGCAAGAACAGCTATGCTCCAGAGTCTGAAGATAGATTTATCGACTTAAACCCGACCAAAGAAGTGGTTCTTGCTTGCCTCCTGGATCCCAGATACAAGCACCGACCCCTCGATCAAGAGACACTCAGTCAGGCT